CCCGCGTCTCCTGCATCGGCAGGCGGACTCTCAAGCACTGCGCCACCAGGGAAGCCCCCCATTCATTCTTAATATGATGACGGCAAAACAAAATTTCTGGCCATAAATTAAAATTCTCATTGCACAAAAAAAAAAGTCAGAATAAAAGTTAGTGTTAGCAAGCAGAAATTGGAATGGTATCCCCATTGGAATAGTATTTTGGGGAAGAAAAATCTGTAAAGAATGGGTGGACTTGGACAATGGTCATCAGTGGCTGCTAGAAGAACTACATGAAAGGCTTTGGAAACCTTTATAATGGATGGATTAGGCTGACAAAACCTGATTCCACTGATCAGCACTTTGACCATGATATGTCTAGGTGTGTGTGCATATGTGAGCATTTATGAGTGCATTTATGAGTGTTTAATCCTTCCTGGAGTTCTCTGAGTTTCTTGCATCTGTGGACTGTTGTGTTTTGTTATTTTGGAAAACTCTTGCCTATTTTGTCTTCAAGTATTTTTTCCGCTCCTTTCTTCTTTTATTTATAGACAAATATATTTCCACTGGCTTTTCTTTCTTTTTTTTTTCCATTGGGTTTTCTTAAAAGCACTATTTGTTTTTATCATACATAGGAAATGAAGTACCTATCTCCTTAAGGTAATGTCTACAAAACAAATAAACTTCTTATTGGTGGTAAATAAAAAAATTTGTCAACAAATAAATGTATTTCCACTGACTTTTTAAAATGCATTTTGCTTTTAGCATATATAATAAATTACTATCTACCTCTTTAAGGTTATATTCACAATCAAGAATTGACTCTAATGAGCAAATCTTGACAGCTAGACATTAAAAGCAATGATGTGTTTCTTATAAATAGTTTGGACTACTCTCACATCTATCACTACATTTCCTGAGGAACATATGTATTTCTTTCCTTGGTGGAGATGTTAACTGCTGTTATGATTTCTCTTAGATTTCTTTTAAGCTAGAGCGCCCCCTCCTTCCCTTTCATTTTTCTTGCCACATCTTATTAAAGAAACTGGGTCAATTATCCTGGAGAATGTCCAGCATCTGCCTCTTCTAGTGTCATCTAACTTGTTTCCCTATCCCTGTATTTCTTGTAAACTGCAAGTCAGTTTTACAGCCTTGATTAGATCCAGGTTAACTCTTGGAGGGGGAGGGGAGACAAGAATACTCCATCTGGGAGCACAAAATACTTAGCTGTCCTACTTTTAATGATGCTAAGTTTCAGTAGTGGATTCAGGCGGTGACACTCTGATCCCTCAAATGGTAAAGTTCCCTACTTCCCTTTGTTCATATAGTTTAAAACACTGACGATCTTTTCCTGAATCAAATATTTTATTAGGGGATGCAAGTATGATTTTCTAATTCTACCATTCCTTCCACATTTATTAGCTGGGATTCTTCTGTAAAAAAAATATTTTCCTTCATAAACCAGCACTATCTGGTTACTGTGAAATAGTTCAGGTAGCCAGTTGTCAGAGTAAGGCATAATAATGCCTTAGTTAACTTGGTGCCTTAGTTAACTCCCATAATGACCGATTTTTCTAAAAAGTATCATTACGAACTTGTGGATTTTACATTTCACATTTACATCACTTCATCAATCCACTGCAGTCATTATTCTTTCTGATGCTCAATGGTCCCATTTTGGGGAGCTCCTGTCTTTAGTAGCTTCCTGGATTTTTGGCTCAGCAAATGTCCCAGGTTTATCTTACACATTCCCGACCCAGTCCTGGAATCATCTGTTTCTCCAAAGAATCTTGGTACGTCTTAATGAGAAACAGTACTGAAAGACCACAAGAGGGCACTGGGTGAAGAACAGATACTCCTTAATTTTAGTTTACTAGAGAGTAAATGTCAGCCCAGGTGAGATAATAGTTAATTGCCTACAAGAACCTCATTAATCAATGGCACCACTGAGTTGAGCCCTGACTTGTGGTCCACTGTCTATCCTGATGATTGTGTAGTTTCTTATTTGTATGGTGACTGAGTCCTCATTATGTCTAAATTATACTCTAAGAATGATTATTTTCCCCCAAACATCTACATGTTACAGTATAAAAACTTTCATCAAAATCCTGTTCAAAAAAAGGAAATCAGACCCCATTCTCAACTCTAATGGCAACTAGTTTCCCATCATGATCAGAAAACAATGTAGAGTCCTAACCACAGCCCATGAGACCATCAAAAAATTCATTAAAATCCAAGTCTCTGCCTTCATAGAGATCAGTGGCTTATTCTATCTAACTACCTGAAAATCCTCCTTCTGAATTTGTATAGAGATGATTTAGCATCCCTCTTAATATAATCTATAGAAACCTCCCCAAAACTAATTCTAGCAATTAAACCTAAAATTTTAATACTCCAATTTTGGAATGTTTCATTCAATGCTCTAGAAAGCAAAAGTTAAAGCCCAATTCTGTACATGTTAGATACTATGTACACTGCATGGCACACGTCCCACAAGTAACTAACCACACAGGACCAAGGTAAGACAGAACATAGACAATTTTAGTAAACCATCTTTAGAATTAAATTAACTCTTACTGGTGATAGGAGTTGCATTGTTGGGTGTGTCGGCTCTCAGATACTGAGTCGTCTGGGTAGATGGCTGAGACAGCCCTTGGGAACTACTGCTGGCACTGATGCTGCAAACAATTTTTAAGAGAGAAATACTTGGCAAGTCAGCTTCAATGAGAAATCTCCTTTTTCCATACATACAAAATGCATGTAGCCATTATAACCAGCTTAAAACCCTAACGGAGATCACAATAATGCATGGATCTCTATCACAAATGTTCCATATTGAAATTTTAGTCTGTCTCATAACGTAGAGCTCTATTTTTTTCCTTCCTTTCTATCTCCACAACCACCAGGCAGGTTCATCATATCACAGTCATTCACAAATGTGGTATTCCTCAGACACCATAGATAGCAGTCCTGAACCTCACAAAATGTTATGCTAGGGAACCATCTCTTAGGAAAAGAGTTCATGCCGCTCAATTAGATTGCTTTTAAGAAAAGGAGTATAAAGACAGGCCTCTTTTAATGATGGTCCAAAATCAAATGGCCTACAGATGATGGAGTATGAAAGCAAATCAAACGTGCCAACGTGCTCAAAGCTTGGGAAGGGACTTCCTACCTGGTTCAAATCTGTTTAATCATATACATTTTGCTTCTTCTACTTCCCCAATCCCACCTTTTTAGAATTTACAGAACTTATTAGAAATCTCTAGCACGTGAAGCATTCTATTATGCCATATTCTTTAAGTAATGAGGAGACCCAGAAAATGGTAGGCTCAAATAAATGTGAACCCCATACTCAAGATTACTACAGATTAATGTCCTTTTGTCTTGTCAGTGGATGACGACCTTATCCCAGGGTCACCCTTGCACACATTCCAATTTCACTGCCTCAGCCCTTGTACTTTTGCAGCAGTGGAGAAGTGAAGCATAGAAATTCAGCATGAAGGGTGAAATCACAGGCAGGATGTCATCCCCTCAGGAGGAAGGTCTACTTTCCATGCCTCCCTTAGCTATAGGATCGGCAGAGTGCCATAAGAGTCTCCCAAATTTCCTAAATATGAGAATTGTTTAAATGACCACACCCCACAAAATAGTTCTGTATTTTCATAACCTAGTGATTAAAAAAACACATAATGATAAAAAGCTGCTACTCAAAAATTGATCTATATAGGTCTACACATATAGTGGGTATGGGACAGTACAGTGAAGAGATGTAGAGCATAACCTTGAAATCAAAACTGCCAGCACCACCATTTATTAACTAGCTGTATGATCTTGGGCAAAATGCTTCTGAAGCCTCAAATTCCTCGTGGATAAAATAACCATAATACTACTTCCTGAAAAGGTTGCTAAAAGGATTACATGAAAAATATAATCCTTTTAGGGCAATGCCCTGCTCTCAAACATACACTTACAAATTATTATTACTAATTATGCATATTATTACCAATATTATGCATCCTTAATTCCTGGAACCACCAGGAACCTGTTTTTGGAGTTCTGAGTACATACTACTCAAAGACCACGTCAGAAATCAAATCTGTTAAAAGTCCAGGGTTCAAAAATGGGGAGAGGAGAGAAGTATTATCATCCCCAAAGAGGGGGGAAATAATAGAATACAATTTACTTACCCATAAAATGGGATAAGAAAACCTACCTCCCAGGATTTTTGTGAGGTTCAAGTTGTATAATATATGTGAAAGTATAATTCAAATATTACCTGCAACCAATGTACAGGTTGAATAAATATGCACAGATCCCAAATTATTTACTAGTTATTGTGTTTCTCTTCAGCAGCTCAACAGTAGGTGGCACTCTTGTACCACCTCATAATTCCTGAAAAGCCTGGGCATACAAAGATGTTATGCACTCATCCATATTTAGTGGTCCCTACAATGAGCATAGCACTAATGTAAAGCGATCAGAACAAACCTTTGAAAGCCCAGACTTACTGTTATGAGAGAAGCACGGAGCAGTTGGGGATCAACCCCTGATACCTATTAAATTCAATATCTACATAGCTACATCACATGAGGTAAAAAATGAAATAAAAATGTACACTTGCTAACACTTAATAGTTTAACACCAGTCTAAATAAATTATCTCATTTGACTTTCATAAGCAAGTAAGATTAGTTATGAAGACATTAACCTTGCTTTAGCGTTGAAGTTAGAACTTAGGGCAAAGCTCATCATTTTCCTTCAGAGAGCTTATTATGATTTATATTTCTCTATTTTTCTGTGTAATTCATTTATTTAATTATTCATTCAAAAACTATTTACTAAGTGTATACTAGATGCTAGATACTGTGCCAGGTGCTGGGGATACAGCAGTGAACATAAGAAACAAAGATCCCTACCCTCATGAAGCCTACATTCTAGCAGGGATTTCTGGTTTAGTATCTATCTTGCCCAAGCAGACTGTAAACTCCATGAGGGTAAGAAAAGTACCTATTTGTTCACTCCTCCCTTCCCAGCACTTAAGCCAGGGCCTGGCACAAGAGGCCTCAAGTGGGCCCAACTCTTAGTGAGAGCTCAATTAACACTTACTGAATCAATCAATCAATAAACAGAGAAGAACACCCTTCCTTGGAATAGAAAGCTATAAACCACACAGAAGAGTTGCTGCTGACATGAGCTATTGATATATACTGAAAGAGGCAAAGAATTATTGCTCTAACAGAATGGTTTCCTGTCTCTCTCTACTCATTCCTCATTCAATAAATTCTTCATGCAACATTCATTCAGTGATACCTGTTAGACACTGAATAAGGGGAATACAGAAATGAATAAGGGGAAATAAAAGGGACCCTGTCACCAGTAATGGCAAGGGTGATGGGGCAATGCAGATAATGGGAAATGAAGATATTGCCAAATAACAAGTTCATGTATCCCACAAAGGAGTGAACTCTCCTATAGTTGCAAGCTAACAGGGAAAGACTACAGTACAGACAGAGGGCAGACCAATCCCTCTGTGGAAGAACTTTACAAAAGCTCTGCATCTCCAGAATACACTCATCTGGCACAACACAGAGACTGAGAAGATGAGCTTATAGTGTCAGGAGAGGGAAAGTCACACACTTGGGCTCCAACTGCCCCTGGCATGAGCACACCTCAGGCAGTTTTATTCTCTGCCTCTAAATAAGCTCTGTGTATAAGAGGACTCTGGCTCCTGAGTGTCAGGAATGCAAGAACTCTGTACCATCCCTGTGCAAGCAATTCCATGGAGCCATGGGTCCCATCAAACCTCACAGGGCTGCTGTGAGGATTAAGAGGATTAATGGATGTAAAAGCACATGCAACAGTGCCTGGCATATAACAAGTGCTTTATACAATTAGAGTACTGAGTTATTACAATACAGCTATTACAACAATAATGAGTCTCTCCTGTTGCTCGGTCCTGGGCCTAGCAGTGCAACCCTAAAAAAGTTATTTAATCTCTTCAAGCCTGTTTCTTTATCTTTAAAACAAGGATACCCATAAGTGGCTATGAGTGTCAAATAAGATAATACATGTAAAGTGCTTGGTACAGTACTGGTAAATAGCACTCAATGAAATGGTAGCCATTGTTAACTCAGTGGCCCCAGCACAGAGGGAAGAAGCAGTGTCTCTTAAATGCTATTAGATTACTGGATGGCAACTTTCTAGTCACCACTATTAGCTTGCCTGGCATGTAATAAATAACAGCTAGTAGAATAGGAAAGAGATGAAGAAGAAATTAGTCCATCACTACCAACACACTGCAACTTTCTGAAAAGAAAAATCATAATAATGGCACTTACTATATGCCAGGCTTGTTCTAAGAGTTTACACTTTTATTTCACTGAAACTTCGCAACATGCCTACAAAGTATGTGCCATGATCATCTCTGCTTTAGAGATGAGGAAAACTGAGACATAAAGCAGCTACAAAACTTCCTCTATCTGGGCCACAAAGCTAGTAAGTAGCACAGCCAGAATTCAGAGACGTGCTGGCTCCAGTCCATGCTCTTAACCACTAGGCTGTACTCTGAAAACAAGTGATGATGAAAGCTGCTTCTATTCAGGCAATATCTGGAAACACCTGCCTGAAAACTAGAGAACTGGAACACCAATTCATGGGTGGTAACAAATTATTTCAGCAGCAAAGGTATAAGCCCCATGGATTCTGAAGTTCTTGTACAACTCTGATCTCTGTGGGTTCAGAGCCCCCCCATACAAGCATTCAAGGAGAATGTTTATCAAGACAGACTACTAAATGCCATGCCTTCCAGTGACCTCTAACTCTGCCATATCCTCTCTCAGAGTCCCATCAAAATGTTCCTGTTACTTCACTTCCCCCTCAGTTCTTTCTCTACAAAACTTGATTGTAACTAACACAACCATATATACAAAACATACTCTGAAACATCCCACCTGTGAATTTCCCTTCTCACTCTGACTTCCTCTCTCTTCTTTCTCTACTCAGATAAAGAAAGGGTAACAGAGGGGACAGAGAGTAGTTAGGGGCGGGAATTAATCCAACCAGGATCCCCATCCCCTTGTGCTTTTGTTTCTGCCACACATATGCTTACCTGCTGTATGTATGGCACCATGTAGGACTGGGGAGTCAGCAGTAAGATGCACTGCTCCCTAACTGGGAAAAGCTTACATTCTAGCAGGAGAGACAAGTACACAAAAACTGATTTTAGAAGGAAAAAGTAAAATAATTGCTACCAAAAAGAGAGAGAGACAGAGAAACGGAAAGGGAAGGAGAGAAAGACAAAGAGAGGAGGGAGAAACTGATGGTTGGGAGGCTTAAAAGAGAGTTCATAGAAGCGATGGCAATGGAGTTGAAATGTGAAGAATGGTTTGAACCAGTGGAAAATGCAGGGAGCCCTGTGGGCAAAGGAAAGCATGAACAAAAGTCCTGGAGGGAAAAGTGTAGGGCAAAAGTGAGGAACAAATAATCATTTAACTGGAGCGTGAAGTAAGGATGAGAGACAAGGCAGGCTCATCTCCAGACTGTAAAGGAGGGTGCCTTGAAAGCCAAGTCACGAAGCTGAGAATGTCTTCAGTCAGCAACTGGGAATCACTGAGGAGGGAAACGAGAACTGTGCACTAGGAAAATAAACCTGTCTATGATTCCATCTTTACCTCTCACCCTATCCTGACTATAATGTCCTCCTGGTCATCTTGACTCACCCAGGCTGGGACGAGCACTTGTTTTATTCCCACACTATAATACACATACCACAATCATCAAATTTACAAACTTTTATAATATGGGTTAATGTCAAAGATTAAATACTTGAAGTCATGAAGTATATCATTTTTTTTTTTTTTATTCCTAGCACTTAGCATAACATCTGACCCGGTGTATCTCAAATCCTACACATTACACTCATCCAGAAAGCTCTAAGAAAAATACTGATGCTCAAACACCACCCTAGACCAATGACATCAGAATTTCTGGAAGGGGGTACCTAAGTGCTGATGTATTTTAAAAGCTTACCCATGACTCTAATGTGTGACCAGGTTGAGAACTAATGATTTAAATCATAGCAGGTTCTCTGTTAATAAATTGGATGGATGGATGGATGGATAGAAGGATGGATAGTGATGGAGGGACAAACTAGGAGGAAGAAACAGGGCTATTTCAAAAAGGTACTAAGAGTCTAGAAGAGAGTCATGTCAAAGGGGATGTGGGGAAAATCTTGATCTCTACTCTACTTCTCCACCAACTAATAAACTAATTTCTGACTTCACAGATTTTTAAAAATAAAATCAGAGAAACACAAAGACAGTATTTTTTCAAGTATTTTTTCCCTTGGCTAGGGAAAGCCTCCCACCCTTCTTCCCCTGCACCACTGTGCACTAGTGGGCATGGGTGTGTGTGGGCTCCCATGTAAATGCAAACAACTGCTTTTATTTTTTTCCTTTCCCAAAATATATACGATACCTGTCATCCAGTTCAATCCTTTTCATACTATGAAGGTGCAAAACAGCTAATATTATTGCTACAAGAAATATTACTGCACAGCAAACCCCTACGCTGATGTAAAATACACGTGTAGAAGTCGTTGGAGCTGCATGTACAGGATCATCTGAAATAAAAATGAACAACACATTAAGCTTTTTAAACAAATATCATCAATTGCTTCGTGAGCCAATATACACAATGAGTACCCTGTTCTTTGTAAAAGATTTTCATTTCATGTGTCCATTCTTTGATAAGATCAGTTACCAGTAGCATGTTGATGTAAATTCACACAATTTAAAAAGTGTTTTTGTTGTAGTAAAAAAGGGATTTTAAATAGAACTTTTGGTTAATGAGTAAAATTTACAAGCGGTATACATATAATAAACCATCTATAGCAGTGCTGTCCAATAGGGGAATGCTCTATAGGGTGCATTCCAATACAGCAGCCACTGGCCACCTGTGGCTATTAAACACTTGAAATGTAGCTAGTACAATGCAGGAACTGAAGTTTTAATTTTATTTCATTTCAATTAATTTAATGTTAAATAGCCACACGTGGCTAGTAATTACCATACTGGACAGCAAGCTCTACAGACCCTTCCTCAACAGTGACACCTGGTACGGAGAGATCAGACATCTTTGTTGCCGATGACCACTAACTCACAGGGGGAGGGATATACAGTAGAGCGACCCACAGGTAAAACAAACAAACCTTTCATCTTTTTCACTTTTGAGAGTAACAGAAATTATTTTGCTTATCTGTTTTTAAAGATAAAAGCAGGAAAACAAGACTATACTCATGAAATAAAATAACAGTCACCTTAATACTATTCAAAAAGAAAGAAAGCCTCAACAATAGGGGAAATAATTCAAAGACACAGAGACACATGTATACACATACACACAGAAGCAACTGAGAAAGAGATACAGAAACAAAGATCCACATGATAAGAGCAAGCAGAATGGAAGACAGAGAAATAGAAACAGAACTGGTGTAACTGGAGATTCATGTAAGTTTTGATGAGTACTCACATCAGAATTCTAGTGAAGAATTTGGATTTTATCCTAAATGAAATGGGAAGTCACTGCAAGGTTTCAACCAAAGGAATGATACACACGATCATACTTGAAAATAAAAGAAACAAAGATGACTCTGCATGCTGTATAAAGAATACTGTGGGGAGGGGCAAAAGCAGAAGCAGGAACAAATCAGGTTACTACAGCAGTCCAAGAAAGAGAGAGCAGTGGCTTGGACAAGAGTGTTATGGTGAAGGTGAGAAGTTCATGGATTGGGAAGCAGAGTCAACAGAGTTTGCTAATGGATTGAACCCAGGTAGAAAGAAAAAGAGGAAGCAAAGCTTTGGCTTAAAGAATTAGGTGGATAAGGTACCTTTACAAGCAGAAAAAAGAAGCAGGTTGGGCAAACAGAGAATCAAGAGTTTTGTTTTGTCCAAAAGTACCTGGTACACATCTACATGGAGATGTCAAATTGACAGAAATACAAATGTGGAGTTATGGGGATAGGTCAGGACAAAAGATAAAAGTCATAGCTTTCAAAAACTTAAAAATAAGATTGCTTTCTAAAAGTTAAACTTTGAATCAACAAATAATAAACCAGAACAGATCAATGCAGAGAGACCGAATGGCTTCTAGGGCAGCTAGACTTGACAGCAGCCTGAATGAAGGTATGACTTTCCTTTAAGAATGCCACAGGCCGTTCAACCTTGAAGGGGTGGGAAAGGAAGGTCCCAAAGGCTGATGTTGGCAGTATCCATCTCAGCACACTCCAAGGCAGAGGAGAGGGTACCGCTCTGCTGGGCAGGTCCCCAAATGCGCCCCGCCTGACTACCTCCAAATTCCAAGGCTTGTGTATGCACTGTTCCCATTCCCTCACTTCGACATTTTACCTGCCACCACCTAGTCACCCTTCAGGTCTCAGACAAGACGCCACCCTCCTCAGGAAGCTCACCCTCATTCCCAGAGGAGGTTACTTGCCCCTCTCCTCAGGATTTCCAAAGCCCCTTGTGCTGGCCATGTCACAGCCTGCCACAAGATACTGTCGTCACTGGTACTGCAACTCCATTTCCTCTGCTACATTAGAAACCCATGGGGGCTTACAGAGTCTGCTTTGTTCACAGTTTAATCCTCTGCCTCAATCATACCACCTGGCACATCATAGCCTCTCGGTAAACGTTAGATGGATGAATACACAGAAAGGGAGGGGAGGAGAGAGGGAGCAAGGAAGAGGCAGGCAGAGACCAAGGATATGCAATACTGTATTCTGCTTGTCAGAAATAATAACCCTACTAGCATAAAAGAAACGGATAAAATCGCCAGAATTTTACAAGTAAAGTTGGAGAGCAACAATATTTTAAAAAATAGTTTTATTTTCTTCTCAAAGACAAATCCAAATGAAATATTTCTAAAAGGCAGACAAATCTCATATTATTTTACCTTCAAAAATGGTCTACTTTGAGACAACCAGATGCTTTGTGCCTCTTGAGGCGATGAAAAAGATAAAATAGGAAGCACATACTACCATCTATGAACTATTCTAGCCAAAAGAGTTGGTTCTCAACCTAAGGAAGTACAAAATCCAACTACCAGTTTAGAAGAGAGAAAAACATGTTAAATGACACCACAAAAATGCAGGTGTGGAAAATTCTTTGAGACAAATGACTCAATTTCTTCAACAAATAAATGACACTGAAGGGAAGGGGGTGGTTTCTGATTAATATAAAATACATGTCAACCAAATACAGTGTGTGTAGGCTTCATTTGGATCCTGATTCAGGGAAGAAACTATACAAAGACAATTTTGAGACAATCAGGTTAATTTGAACATGGACCAGCTAGCTATCAGAAGATATTAAGGAGTTAATTTTGTTACATGTGATAAATCAAATACAAGTGAATAGGTGTTGGGTGATTGTGGCTTTTTTGTTTGTTTGTTTTTGTTTGTTTGTTTTTTTGTTTTTTGCAGTACGCGGGCCTCTCACTGTTCTGGCCTCTCCCGTTGCGGAGCACAGGCTCCGGACGCGCAGGCTCAGCGGCCATGGCTCACGGGCCCAGCTGCTCCGTGGCATGTGGGATCTTCCCGGACCAGAGCACAAACCCGTGTCCCCTGCATCGGCAGGTGGACTCTCAACCACTGCACCACCAGGGAAGCCCGTGGCTTGTTTTTTTAATGGCCTTTTAAAAAGTTACCTACCCTGAAACATTTATGGGGTGAAATGATATGATGCATACGATGTGCTTCAAAGTACTACTCTATCCTTCCCCACCCACGCACCCAACTGAAAAAGGAGGAAGGAATCAACGGTACAGGACTGGCAAATGTTGATCATTACTGAAGCAGGGTGATGGTCACATGGGGGTTCATCAAAACATTCTCTTGACTTCTGCATACTTGAAATTCCCTCCCCCGATTTTTAGTTTACTTCCATAAAAAGAATCTAGTAACATTTTAAGATACTGCTATTAAAATGACTTCAGGAAGAGTAACAGTTAATGATGTATCCATGTCAGAAAAGGAAAAAGAAGTCTAAGTTATACTACCTTACACAACCATTATCAAAAACTAAAAATCTCCTTCAAGTTTCTGCTCTGTAGGTTTAAACAATGTGGATATTTAAGCCTGTATTTTCACCTGGATGAAACTAGCTGAGGGTTACATCCAGGCCATGAATTAGATTTTCTATCCTTCTGTTAAACAGATGAAGATCTTACACATATTTCACGTTCATACTTTAATTATGACCATTTGAAATGATATAAATTCTTGCTTATAAAAGTTTTTTAGATCACATGAAATATGTATGAATTTTGCTTTACAAAATTTTCAATATTCTAATAGTTTCATCTGAACACACCAATCTACAAAACATCAGTGAAATAAGCAGCATGGCGTCATTTAATCTTTTGACAAACTGGAAACCACAAAACATCCAAGCTACACAAAACCATGTTCATTTGCAATCCATCATTTTTCATCCCTAATGATGGAACAAGATAATAAATACAGTAACACTTACAAATAGTTCTGCTAGTGTTTTTGTCCAAGGATGAAGTTTTTACTTCTTCAAGTTCTGAATTAAAAAGGAGATAAAAGATGCTTTAGAAATTCTTTCTTTTCCATGAAAATCCTTAAATACCAAATTATATTTTCTGAATTTTTTCTCACATAGCTTTATGTTCTAACAGAAGTCCCTGAACTAAGTAACAAGGTATTTGTCACAAGATAATAAATATATAGATAGCTAGTGGGAAGAAGCTGCATAGCGCAGGGAGATCAGCTCAGTGCTTTGTGACCACCTAGAGAGGTGGGATAGGGAGGGTGGGAGGGAGATGCAAGAGGGAGGGGATATGGGGATATATGTATACATACAGCTGATTCAGTTTGTTATACAGCAGAAGCTAACACAACACTGTAAAGCAATTATACTCCAGTAAAGATGTTAAAATATATATATATATATAATAAATGCTACATTACTATTCTGATAATCATCACTATATTCATCAATCAATAGTCTATGCCTATATTAGCCAATGGGTATTACTTACAGACAGATGCTCAATGAAAAAGGGTTTCTGTGATCAAGAAGTCTGGGGAAAGCTACATACTATAACCTCTGTGGAGGTTCACAGTGCACATTAGCAGAGTGCAAAGGCTCTGAGGAGTTTGAGAGTAACAAAACCTGTCTAATCCAATAATTTACACCCTCATAAAGGAAAATTTTCTTCCCAGTAACACCCATTAACATGTACAGTACATGTATGTTTTCTGTGGCAGACAGTTTTCAAAATGTAGAAAGCTGGAAAACCATATAAATATATTAGGATCACATATTAAAGAGTCATGAATGTAAACCGGATGATTAGGGTGGCCAGAAGTATGACCACCAAATAAAAAGGGTCGTACTATATTAAACTTAAGTCTAAAACAGAAAATTACATCAACTGTTAATTTTCATGTACATATTAAAGAAAATGGAGAAGGTATGGGATTATTCTGAATATCGGCTGATCATTAACCTTAGTGGGCTCCACAGACCCCATCACACTTGTCCAACATTCTGCCTTTAAGCACTAACAGATGAAGCGCCATGGTATAGGCAGCGTCACCTCCCTAGGGGCCAGGAACCACCTGTTCTGTTTTCCTCACTGACTGCCTATGCACGCTTAGGTGACCACTACAGGTCCCAGTCTCCTCATATTATATAACGACTAGGTTGAACTAGAGTCTCTAAAGTCTTCTTTGGCTTTAAAATTACATGAAGGTATAACTGGATATGCAAGAACTGACAAATGTATCAAAACACCAAAGCTAACAAGGGACTAACTTTTCATTTTAAAAATGTCCATTCTGACGAGATCGCGCATTCAGGGTGGTGTGGCCATAGACTAAAAATGTCCATTCTGGATAAAGAAGTGCTGAAAATACACATGCACGCGCACACACACACCACACACATAATGGAATACCATTTAGCCATAAAAAATAAGGAAATCCTGCCATTTGCAACAACATGGATAGACTTTGAGGGTCTTATGCTAAGTGAAATAAGTCAGAGAAAGACTATGAGGTATTCTATGATCTCACTTATATGTATACAGAATCTAAAGAATCAATTTTTTTAAAAAATCATAAGAAAAGAGATCAGATTTGTTATTATCAGAGGCAGGAGGGAGGAGGAACTGGAGGAGGTAGTCAAAAGGTACAAACTTCCAGTTATAAATACTAGGGATATAGCGTACAGCACGGTGTACTTTATATGTTATTTAACACAATATGTTAACTGTATGATATATGTTGAGAGTTGTTAAGAAAGTAAATCCTAAGAGGTCTCATCACAAGGAAAAAATTTTTTTAGTTTTTTGCTCTCTCTTTCTATTGTATCCATATGAAATGATGGATGCTAAGTAAATTTACTGTGATAATCATTTCACAATGTATGTAAATCAAACCATTATGCTGTACACCTTAAACTTACACAGTGATGTATGTCAATTATATCTCAATAAAACTGGGGAAAATATACATGGAGAGTAACTGTTTACTTTATATTTACTCTAATTAAAAGATTAAATTAGAGCTTAAAAAATGCCCATTCTAATGCAGTACAGCTTTTTTACTGGCATGTTATCTGGACATTAGCCATTATAACTCATTTGCTGGCCTCAGGTGTTCTCATAACACTCAGCACTAACTTTGACTAGGAAATGTGTTAAGAGACAGTTTGCCAAAGAAGCCAAAGAAGCAAGAGCATGCGTTTGCAACCCAGCTCCACCACTTAGCTGTCCGGCCTTGGCAAGTTGGTTGGATTCTCTGAGCCTCAGCTTCCTCCTCAGAAAATGGAGATAATGAGAGAACCTACTGCCTACGGCTGCTATAAGCATTAAATGGGTTTAATGTGTGTAAAGCACTTGGAACACAGTAGGCACTCAGCAAGTTTAGAGGGGTTTTCTTTAGCTTTTTTTTTTTTCCTATTTTAGATACTAACCAGCTCTACCAATGTGACTTTGTAAATTCAGGTCACTTTAATCTCTCTGGAACTTAAAGTGAGTGGGTTGGACTAGATAACCTTTAAGGAGAATTCTAAAATTCTTTGATCTATGACCTAGTATGCTGAAGCTCTTTCATATCCACTTAATTTCCTGAGTAACAGATTATTCAAAACCAAAAACTACCAACATGTATTAAGTACCCACATATGGTATTCTAAGTTTCAGGTTATTAGCTTCAATTAATCTAAAATCAACCAACCAACCAACCTCTTGAAACAGGTTATTATGCCATTTTACAGATGAAAAGAACTGAGACTTAGGTTAAGAAACCTGTTCCAATTATCCTGTCAAGAGCAGAGCTGTAATTCTAACTCAGGTCTTTCCGGCCCCAGGGCAATTCTTCTACATAATGGTAATTCATAAAGGAAACATAGTTAACACCCCATTACTGAGGGGTCCCTATCAAAATTACCTGATTTCTTTACCTCTTCAGCCACTAGTGCTATTTCACATTCCTAAAGGAAAACGTCCTTAGCAATTCTGATGAAAATTTTGAGAAAGCAGGAAATGAGTGGGGCCTGAATGAGATTCCTGGCTACAAGCTATCTCAGTGATTATTTCGGAATTTCATCAGTTAGTGCTCTCTTTTCTCACTTGCAACTATAATCAAGATTTGATCACAAATCTGTAAAAAGATGACAAAATCTATTTTTGACCTCCTCACATCTATATAAAACACATACTTTGGTAAATAAATTCCTTACTTTTGTAGCACATTTTCCTTCGTTTAAAATTTAAGACTGTAAAGTTTTTTGAAGAATTTACTGTCAAGTTGAGCTGCATTAGTATCATAACTTCAGAATCTACTTTGCCAGTACAGGAAAGCTCGACCCGAAACACTGTTTGAAAAAGAAAAAATACTTTAATTTTCTAAAAATCAACATTAATGCCCACTGAATAATTTAGAATTTATTTTTGTTGCAATAAAGCTAAAAATAATACATTTACATAACATACTAAGCAGAAACTTTCAGAGAACTTTAGACTACACAGCTTTGGACATTAAGTACTTCATTCATTATAGATATAAAAGTTAGCATTAAAGAACAAACCAAGACATAAAGGAAGAGAATTATTTTCAAATTTTCTCATGATTTTTAACATATCAATCTGTCTCATAAGTTCTCTTATTATAATACAGTAAAGCTACAGAATCATAAGGCAAACCCTACTACCTCATCAGTCACAATCAACAGTAATAACAAAAATTACTTGATAAAAAAGGAAAGACAATTCACCACCAAAATGCAATTATGTATTATTAATGAAGAGATTAAAAATAAACCTGTAAATGAAACTGATAAATTCTCAACTATGAATTAAAAAGAAAAAAAACCTTTCTAAACAGAAACTGGCTTTTAATCAATTAATGTAGTAAGGAGATAACAGACTTTGGTGCACATCTTTTTTTTTTTTTTTTCAATCTTTCAGTTTAAGACTCTTTTTCTACAAATTTAGAATACATCATTCTACCATCTACATCAGTGTATGAACAATATGGGCATTTTTGAATTTCTTTACTGGCCCATAAAAATTAACCAGCTTTCCCATGTTTTCTTAAAGCTTGGATTAATGAATGTCACTAATAACAGTGAGTAAGACTGTCAAAAAAGTTCCATAACACTGGGGCTTATACTGTCAAGTATAAAAAATTTTCGTTTTCTTTAAATCTCACATCTTCAGAAGCCTCTCTCAAAAGGCTGGCTCAAAAGTAGTTAAATTGGTGTAAATATGACACTTAAATGATTTTCTCAGACATGTCCTGAGTGCCTATCCTGTTCCAGATGTTATGCTAGGCACCAAGGGTAGATAGCTGAAAAAGACAGCTCCTGCCCTCAGGGTGGCACAGGCTAGAGGGAGAGACAAAGAATTACAAGATAATGTGATCAGTTCAAAACAGTTAAATACAGAAGAGTTAACAAATGGAGGGAGAGGAGGCAGGAAAAGGAGAGTACAGATTTTGAGTCTTGCAGAATATTTAGTATGAATAGAAATTCACAAGCAGGAAAGATGAAAAAATGGTTCCAAATACAGAGACCAGCTTGTGCTGAGAACTACATGTAGCATGGCACTGCTGGAACACTGGGGCAAATGCAGCAATAAGGTTTAGACAAGGCAGGCAGGGGCAGATGTAAACACAGCACACTGGCTGGGGAGTCTGCAATGTACTCAGCTGACTGGGGTGGGGGCACTGAGGGGCTTGATATCACATGGTCAGAAGTGAGTGTTCGGTGGTTATCAGGGCTGCAGTGTGGGAACTAACAGAAGAGAAACAAGACCAGACAAAGGGACCCAGCTGGGGGCCAACATGCATATAAGGAGACAGAGAAGAGCTGAGTGCAGACAGTTCTGGAAGGGATGGAAAAGAGGAAATGGTTTAAACAGTCCAAATAACCTCTATTTAAAAAAATTACTTTTCAAAGTACTTAAGCATATAATACCTATGTGTGTGCATAGAACACTACATTATCAGTAGTTTAACTGTTCTTTGAGAGTACATGGGACACAGTTAAAAACAGTATGTTAAACTCTGTCACTGAGACTCACCTGATAAAGTGCGTGGAACTTCCCCCTGAGCAGAAATGTTGACCTGGGGCATGTCCATAGCCACGAAATTGTCTACTTGGAATCCCAGCTTATATTCAACCTGTAAAATGGAGAAATAAACAAACTGGATCCATCATAACAGAAAAGGCACCAACAGCTTGACCTCACTGATTTAGGTCATTAACTAATGAATGCATGAGCCTTTCATAAGAACAAATAATCTAGCTATTTTTTAAAAAGTTCAAATTGTCAGAAACCGTGCTAGGAATGTTCCTTTTGTTTTAAACAGTTGAAGAAACCAAGCCAGGGAAGTTGAATATATGCAAAGTAGCTAGAGTGGGAATCCAGCTCAGCTGCGTCTAAGACTTTTCCCCACCAGACTGCATTGCCTCTTACATGACCCATTAGATTACTGTCTTGGGGGTGTGTTTATTTTTTTCTTCCAGTTTTATTGAGATATAATTGACATATATCACTATATAAGTTTAAAACGGTTACAGCATAATGATTTGACTTACATACATGATGAAATGCTTATCACCATAAATTTAGGGAACATCTATCATCTCATATAGATACAAAATTAAAGAAATAGAAAAAAAATTTTCCTTGTGATAAGAACTCTTAGAATTTACTCTCTTAACAATGTTCATATATAACATACAGCAGTGTTAATTCTATTTATAAGGTTGTACATTATATCCCTAGCACTTATTTATCTTATAACTGGAAGTCTATAGTACCTTTTCATTGCCTTCATCCAATTCCCCCTGCCCACCTCCTCTGGTAACCACAAATCTGATCTCTTTTTCTATGTGTTTGTTTGTATGTTTGTTTGTTTTTGAAGTATAAGTGACCTACAATGCTATATTAGTTCCGTTTATGCAACAGTGATTTTTTTCTATACATTTCAAAATGATCACCAAAATAAGTCTAGTTACAATACGTCACCACAAAGATATTGTTTAGTTATTGACTATACTCCCCACACTGTAAATTTCATATCCTTGACTCTTTTATTTTGCAACTGGAAGTCTGCACCTCTTAATCTCCCTCACCTATCTCTTTCCTCCCCCTCTACCCTAACTCCTCTGGTAACCATCTGCTTGTTCTCTGTATTTATGACTCGGTTTCTGTCTTGTTATGTTTGTTCATTTGTTCCTAGGAATTTTCAATTGGATAAAAATTCAATCCAGTAAGCCACCCTCTATTTCATGCTCAGAACAGTACCACCACTCTCCTGTACAATCTGCCATCTAGGATTCAGAAATTCTGCTAAGGACCACAGCCACTGACAGAGACGCCCTGGAGAGCCAAGGGGCTGAGATGTATAATTTACAGACCATGACTAGTCACCAATGTCTTCTCTATTTGATAAAAGCCAAGCTCTGAGGGCCTGCATGTGACTGGTGGATGAAGGTATGTTCTACAGACCCACTCACCTCACAAGCAGATTCCAAGGTACAAATTTCTCATAGGATATCTAAGCCACATTCTCTAGTCCAGCTTTCACCACTGAGAAAGTTTATGTTTGGATGCCCATCTAACCTCTAGATCTATTTCTCAAGTGATTCAGAATCAGGAAAGGAAGAGGGGTGACTAGGAAGATGTCCTGGGAACACCAATATTCTCTATCAATACGTGGCCTACACAGGTGGCTTAATAGAACCAATCAGCATCAATCAATAAATATAGTCCTGTTGCTAGAGAGATGTTCATGAAAGAAAGAGTTCAAAGTGCAAAGCAATAGGTGAAATTCAGAATGGCTGCCACCTTCAAGACCTTCAATGAGGCCTTATATTTCACGCTACTCTTTGTCCTGCTCTTGGGGACTCAATAAGAATGGTACCCCTCTCCCATTCAGTGGTCACAGGGGCTTTTTGGTGGAGGCTGGGACTGGCAGAAGCCAAAGGGCAGTGGGTTAGGAAAACAGTAGTAGGAAAGAGGTTCAAGAAACCATTCTTCAAGAAACTTAACTAGGAAGAATGTAATCAGGTAATGGTGGGGGGCAGGGCTGGGGGTGGGTGGTGGGGTAGATTTCAAAGCCTTTCTTTCTTCTTTTTTCAATGGAAGATAAACATGTTTATATGCTAATGAAAAAAAAACAACAAAAAAAGGACTTAACAAAGAGGAAACAGGGAAAGA